TATGAGTTTATAGTGAAACAACAATTGAACAATTAAAAGAAAATATCTGGCTAATAATCTGCGGACTATTTCAGACAAAAGACTTTTACGAAACGGATATTACTACAGTAATCTTTTCTTAAACACATTCATGTCATATCTCGATGTTCCGCACCAACTCTAAATTTGAAACCGGTAAATAGCTGTAAATGAAATTCCTTTATATTAGAATGAAAATCATTAGAGGAAGATAGTGAATCAGTCGTCTCAGTGGCACAATCGCTTAGCGCTATCGTCTGTTAACCGAAACGTTGGTGGTTTAAATCCACTTAGGGACGAAATACAACATTTTACATTTTGTTTAACGCTTTGTACTCAGTTGTATGATGTATTGTAGGAAAGTAAGGAATTTCTATGAAGTATACTTTCTAAATGCATAGCGTGCAAAAAAGTTTGAAAAACCAACTGATCCATTCTACGTTCACATTCTATTACAAATTGCTTATGTGGTTATAGTGAAACAACAATTGAAAGAAAAATATCTGGCTAATAATCTGCGGACTATTTCAGACAGAAGACTTTTACGAAACGGATATTACTACAGTAATCTTTTCTTAAACACATTCATGTCATTTCTCGATGTTCCGTACCAACTCTAAATGTGAAACAGTTCAATAGCTGCAAATGAAATTCGTTGATATTAGAAGGAAAATCAACCGAGGAAGTCGGCGAATCTGTCGTGTCTCTGGCGCAATCCTATAAGCGCATTCGGTTGTTAATAGCGAGGCTGCTTGTTCAAATCCACCCGGGGACCAAATCCGTAATTTTGCCTTTTGCTAAACACTTTGTATTGAGTTGGATAATGTAATGTCGGAAAATAAATAATTTCTACTTCGTAGAATTTCCTTTTTTTCACTTTTTGTGTCCTGTCACTGGATCTAACCAACGCTTATCCACTGTGCCATGTGTCCTTGTGGACATCTATGTATGAATGTCTTCAGCAACCATTTTTACCAGTGCTCATATTGCAATTTTGCTTTTAACATTGGATGTTTTTTACCTGAGCTCTTATTGCAACTTTGTTGTTATAATTGGTTTTCTTTTGCCCTCCTTATTACTGGTTCCCATATTGTATTTATTTCTATGCTTAGTCGTCTCAGGAGATTTTTGTGGACTAGCGTATGTGCTGATTCCTTAAGTTTACGAATTTTCCGATGGTGTTCCTTGTCTCTGATCTCAACATGATCCTACTAAGTGCGTTGATCTCCCTTCTCTCTCCATATGTGTTCCGTCACGCCTGATTTCCCTACTTCCCTTCGTGTTACAGATTTCTGGTGTTCTTGAATTCTTACCTTGAGAGGCCGGCCTGTCTCTCCTTTATATTCCAGCTGCACGGGATAGCGTACACAGAGTCTTTAGTTATGTTCTCCTCTATGAGGATTCTTATTCGGGAGAGATATCTGCGATTGTTTACATTCTTATTTCAAATTGCTTATGTGTTTTTTACTGAAACAACAATTCAACAACTAAAAGAAAAATATCTGCGTATTCATCGGCGAACTATTTAAGTCAGATGACTTTTACGAATATTTCGTCTGTTAACCGAAAGGTTGTTTTGTTCAAATCCACCCCGGGAACGGAATACGTTATCTTGACATCTGTATTGTGTTGGATAATGTAGGTTGAAAAGTGGCCGTTTCTGTTGGTTTTTCGGAAGCATCGTCTAAAAATCATTCAAACTTCTATTTGAAATACTCCACGTTATTTTGTTTTTTGGAATTAGAAAATTTAATCCTTTAGCTTTCAATTGAAGCGGTTGGTAATCTTCGAAAAGGATTTTTCCTTTATGAAAACTACATTTGCCCTTAGGTATACGAATTTTTGGAAGATTTCTTTGTCTAATAATTATTTTTTTTAATCCAATTTAGATTACCTCGGAAATTTTGGTTAACCTCGTACATTTCGTTTTGGTTTTACCGTTCCCATTTTTCTAGCATACCTTTACTTTCGCCTTCTTTTCCCGCCACTCCAATGGATGTTAGCTATTGTGAAAACACCATTTAGGAAGTTTCCATCTCTCCAAGCTCAGGATGTTCGAATATTTTTTCTTTATTCTTAGTTTACATATTTTTATTTTTTAGCAAATGAAAAGAAAATATTTATTTTAAAATCTACACCTAAAAATGAAATTATTTATTATTTATTTTTACTCCTGATACAAACTGAAATCTGTATATACGCGGAGGTGCTGAAAATTTTCCGGCGCGACGCACTCTCCAAAACTAGTGTTTCAATGTTCAAACCGTAATTTTTTTGTGGGGAAGGTGGGTGTATTCAAAAAACTTTAGAAACTGTTGGGGCTGAATATGTGAAAAAGTATGTCGTACATTTCATGACATTTAATTTTTGGTCTTTCTTGATCTGGCTATGAACTTTTCAGCATCCCCTCGTAAATTGTATACAAAGGAACATGGTCAAAATTAAAACGTAAAGGAATGACTGGAATTTTCAGATAAAGATTCGACAGTGAGTCAATCAAAAAAAAGTCGTTTTTTTTTTTTTACTGCTATAATAAAGTTTAATTTTAATTTAGAAATTGAAAAAAACATCCATGATTTGCTTTTAAATGAAGAATATTGATTTATACGAAATTTAACTTGGGATGTTTTAAAAGACGCTAGTAGAGTACCGCGATAGCGTGTAAGTCAGGATGGCCGAGCGGTCTAAGGCGCTGCGTTCAGGTCGCAGTCGGGTCTTCCCGGCGTGGGTTCGAATCCCACTCCTGACAACTTTTAATATTTTGCGAAAATTATTTATTTCACAAAGAATATTTTGAAACCAACATATGAAAAGGAAAGAAAAGAATCAGTTAATCTTTGTTTTTCAAATTTTGCTTTTCTTTTTTTTATTTCTTTTATTTATTTTATGTCCACTGTAAACTAAAAAGATTCCATATAATAAATTAGGGTTTCTAAACTTGGGCGATATCGCCCACCGGTGCCCGATTTCAACTGTTGGGTGGTTGATAAGCAACTGAATGGTGCGTGATTGGAAATTTTGGAGGGTGATATAGGATTTTATGTATCATCAATTTATTTCAACATATGCCACCCGAAAATATATTCATATTTGCAAAGAACCTGTATTAAAAAAAACGAAAAAAAAAAACACACATACAAGATGCTAAATGGGAATAACTGAGATAACTAGATAAGAATATAAATATCTCTGTAAACAAAGAATATTTTGATATTTTCTAAAGTTTTGAGAACGGTTATTAATATTAAAATAGTTCTTCAGATGAAATAAGATTTTTTCGGATATAAATCAAATAAGGTTAGACCAAAAACAACTTTGCCAGTAACATTAAGAAGTGACCTCAGGATAATTTTTATTTTATATAAAATTGTTTTTACTTTTTTTTATCACACTGGCCATCTCAAATTTACCAAAACAGAATATTTTATCCACCACTGTATTCTTTGTATACTATAGATGTGTGCAGTGGAAAAGTTTTCGATGTGAAAGTGGTCGATGACGTAGAAAAGGTTGGGAACACCTGTAATAAATGATGTCTAAAAAATATGTCGAGGAAGCATAACATCTTTTGAGTAGCACTGTTATAATTTCAGAAGGACGGGTGTCAGGTCTGTTGCCTGAGGGTTTCTATCCCCACCCTAAATCAATTGCAATCCTCCTCTGTGAAAGTGATGCGAACTGATTTTAATGTGGAAATTCTTACTCGTGGTAAGAGCCTTAAAACCCGCCCTCAATTCCGACCCAAACCACGCTATCTCAAAACGACGGGCATAAAGCGTGTAAATTACAAGAATAAAAGAAAGAAGATCAAAGCAAACACACGTTGAAATATTTCTTCTGGGGTTCTGAAGGTCCTTTGTTGGGGATTCATGAGGAAGGAATGGTCCATTACCCTACCGGGCTGACCTAATTCATGTTTGTAGCGACAGATGTGACACGCTTCGGTGATCATGTCTCTTTTCGATCCATGATCGCCTAAGGGAAGCCGCGTAAGTAACGAACCCGGATGGTATTCGAACTCGGTTCTCCGATTTCTCATCCCGAGCCATTATCCATTGGGATTCCCATCTAGGTACCTGTTGAATACCTAGATGAGAATGCCAATTTTTTTATTTATATATATATATATATATATAGCTAGCTACTCGTATTCGAGGATACCCGTCTACTACTAATGCGCATTTGTGTTTATTCTGCTACTATGTTTAGTTTCTAGGAAAGAGCGTGTTATCTAGCGTGATCAACAATTTGAATGAGGAAATTCCTCCTCCTTGACAAGTCGTCTATGGTGAGATTCGAACCCGGGTCTCATGGTCATTCTAACCACTCGGCCATTACACCAATCCATACACTAGGTATTCTCAAGTAGTCACCCGCGAGAAAAATAAGTTATTAGAATAGAACTTACTGTTACATCTTAGCTATTTCAACAGTAAAACAACGAAACTTAGTAGTACCCTTAGATTCATGCGGTTGAGGTACCAAAGAGAGCATAGTCGAAAAATTACAGTAAAAATATTTATAGGAAAGATTCAGGGAATTTATATCACGGCCGTGGGAAAGTGACTGAAGTCGAAATGCCAGGTCAAGATCAGTAATATTACAGACCCTTCTTTAGTAAAAAAAAACTTTACAGTTGTAGTAGGTTAGCCAATCTGAATCAGTGACAAAATACAAATTAAACTGACGCTCTAATATTTTTACTACATCAACTTCAACAAAACAACAAGAAGACAAATAATCAAACAGGCAGATATTTGTTTTAACAGAAAATATTTTTATATCACAACAAGTACACACGATAAAATAAAGTTGTTTAAAACTTTAGAGTTCTTGGTTGTGTGATCAAGGTTAATATAAAAGGTGTTATGCTATAGACATGGTAAGGAATTAAACAGTTTATGTTGATGGTGAAATTGAATGAAATAGATTGCTGGACTTACTGTAGAGTTGTTTCGATTTGACTGATATTGTGGCGGACTTCACCAGATTAATTTAACTTAGATTAGGAAACTAAACTAAGGTGAAGAAAGGATAAGCCAAAGACATTTTTTTTGCCTTGCCTCCAGGTTGCCTTTCTACGAGTTTATACACTACAATGTAAAAGTGTAATTGATATTAAATATCTTAGATTTCTGAAAAGATCCCACAAAGTAACCAAGCCATAATCAATTCCCGTAAAATGTCTGTCCTAATTGGTAGCTGTGGAGATTATTAAAAATCTTACTAATGCATTTTCGTAATAATTGATGTTACTAATCCTTTATAAGGCCTCGATATTTTTAACAAGTTTCCTTAAACCACAGTGAGTAAAAATAAAATTATGCAAGACAATATTTTTAGTCATTTCATCCCAAGCGAAGCAATAAAACCATTGAGGCGCAAGAGTTTACTGAGTATGAAAGAATATGACAAAAAATACTAATGAGATAGAACAATAAAAGAGAGAAGATAACGATTGACATTGCATTTAAATTTTTGAAGATTGATTGGAAAGCAAGTAGTCGGAAGAGAGTTCCACAAGCAAGAAGTGTGAGAGAAGAAACTATCAGCATAGAACTTACGGTTCCATCTAGCCATTTCAGCTGTAAACTGATGAGACCTTGCCGCCAATCTAGTACTGCGCTTATATTCATAAAGTCTAGGTACCAAAGAGGAAAGTTCATGAAAACAATTGCCATGAAAATATTTATAGAAGAAGCGGAGGAAAGCTACGCTGTGGCGGTCTGAAAGTGATTGAAGCTGAGGTGATAGGTCAGGAACAATAACATTGCAGATTGTTCTTTGTATTTCATCAAGAATCTCTAAATACATAGCAGAAGCACCAGGCTAGATGTAGCAGCAATATTCAGTGTACATGGTAATGTTATAAATTTTATATTACAAAAAAGTAAACTAATTTAAATGTAACTATATAAACTTATTAACGATGTTAGTCTTCCTCCATTTTTGAGTGAAATAAAAAAATACACAAGAGTTGTGTCCCTTCAGGGAAACATTATAAGAGAATATTTACAGAAAGCCACGCTTCAGTTTCTGCCAAAACTAAACAAATTTCTGCAAAAAAAAAAGCTAAAATAATCCGCACAGGAGGGGTGAATAAATAAATAAAAACAACAAACAAGAAAAATTCCTTTGAGAAATCTCCCCTAAAAATATCACAATCACACCATCTTGCTTCTTCAAAATAAGACGGTTTTTAAATTTTAGCTATTTATTTAATATTTATTTATTTATTTTTCTTTTCCTAATAATGTGCAACAAGTTTGTTGTGTAACTTTCCTCACTACCTTATTCCATAATCTGAAGTTGTAGTCAGTAGTCAGTATGCTGTTGGTGCTGCATTCAGCCTAGCATTAAGTGATCATAATGGGGTACCCATTGTTATTTGTCGAAATAGTGTTTGATATTTTTGTTGTAAGTTCATAAAAAAAAATATATATAAATTCACTTTTATCATGTATAGGTTTTTTAATATGTAATCGCTTTTTAAAACTAGTATAAACATTGTCGATACTGCGCTTATTGACATTCCCAAACACATACTATCTTTTCTAGAGAACAAAACAAAGTTAGACGCTCGTGACTGATAATGTTTTAAACTATTTTGTAAAGCGTCAGCGGCAGCTTGTCTCTGTGGCGCAATCGGTTAGCGCGTTCGGCTGTTAACCGAAAGGTTGGTGGTTCAAGCCCACCCAGGGACGACAAAATATTTTTTTTTCACAAATGTTGGTACCAAAAAGAAAAAAAAAATAGTAGATATCTACGGTTTAATTTGTATTTTAAAATGAAAAATTTATCTTTCTCGAACTTTTTTTTATTTTAGTTTTAATTTCAAGCTAGATAAAGTTCAATATTTCCGCTAGTTTGCTGTATTTCAAATCGATTGGTATGATTTTTTTTAATCGCTAAAATTGATTATACAATGGTAAATTATTTCCTTATACTTGGTTTTAACATAATGTTCATAAATTTATGAATAACAATTGTTTTTATATTTATTTATTTATTTGTTGTAAATATAAAATTATCCTTGCAAATAAACAAAATAGTGTCTAATAGTTTTGTTTTAAATTTTCAAGAACAAAAAAAAAATGTATAAATTCACTTTTATCATATGTTTGCAGTTTAAGGTTTTATTACTGTTTTAAAAAGCGACGATTAGAAAATCGTCGCTTTTTAAAACAGTAAACATTGCAGAGGTGTGAAAGTATTCAACGGGAAATCGTCTTTTTGACACTCCATTTTTTGCGGGCATGAATGTCAAGTTTGCCAATTTTGTTTTTACATTTTTTTTTAGAAAAAAAATTCATATAGCTTAAGACATCAGTAGGTGAAAGTTCGGTCCTGAATGGGATGGATTAAAATTTACTACGATAATAAATTAACACCGTTAAAAACTTTTCATCAGCCACTGTATCAAAATAGTTGAAAGCAACAATATTAAAAATAATTAAGAATGCCTATTTGAATGTAACAACACTTACTGAATACATTTTAGGTAGTCAGAATTATGGAGATTACCTAACCTTGTCCGTCAAGACGCCCGCTAGGTGGTGCTCTACTCAGGGCTATAAGGAAATCTCATAGCATCGCCCTCTTTTTGCGCCGCTAATTAGTTACGACTGGGTATCTCGACGTGGTGTAATGGTTAGAAAGCTTGTCTTTCTAGCACAATTACGACTGAGTAGTGAGTTTGATCCTCACTGGGTGTCCCATACTTTCGGCCTTGTGCCACATCTAAGCCGGGCTTAGAAAATCACTAGTAACGACAAGGGCACCTCGAGGTGGTGTAATGGTTAGCAAGCTTGTCTTGCTAGCACAATTATGACTGAGTAGTGAGTTCGATCCTCACTGGGTGCCCCATAATTTCAGCCTCGTGCCACATCTGAGCTATGCTTGGTAAATCACTAATTAGTAACGACAACACAGAATGTGTCTTCACCGGGAGAAATTTCTCTCTTTCGGAAACTGACTAATTTTATAACAAAGACGAACTCGTAAAAAAATTATATACTGTAAATTTCCGCGTATATAACTCGAACTTTAGATAAGACAAGTTCAAAAATTATATCAAATCTTTCACGAATTTACCAATTAAATGTATATGACATCTGCTTATTGATTAAAAATATAATGTTGTTACTTAATCATAATGTATCCTTAGGAATTCAAAAAAATAATAATAAATAAATAGCAAAATGTTTTTTACTCACGGCTCCTAAAAGGAAATCATTGTTTTGTTTACGTTTTATCACGTAATCTCTTGCAAAAACTTATTCTTCTTCCTCTTCTTTTCCTTTATCAAACAAAACAGTTACAAAATGATAATGTATTTTTAATGAGAAATGAATATTATGTTATCCTAAATGTTATTACTGCCGTAAGCCAACGATTTCTTGGTTCCAAATCAAAGATTAGTGATTTCATGTCTCGTCAAAATCAAAGGTGTATATTATATAACTCATACGTATGAGTTATTTCTAAACCAATTAGACGTATATGTGAGGTCGACTTATGCACCTATAAATCTAGGAACCTCCAATAATTCGGTAAAAAAAGTAGCATGATGATAAAAAGCCACAAACTTAATAAAAACAAAGTTTTAACCTCAAATTATGATGATTTTGAGGACTTAAAGGTCGTTTTTTTTTTTCTCGGAGATATACGGTAATATTGTTGTCTAAATGTAAATATTTTATTTATATAGATTATTAAAACCACTAAGAGAAGTAGCATGATGATAAAAAGCCACAAACTTAATAAAAACAAAGTTTTAACCTCAAATTGTATATGTTATTATTAAGAGGAAAGAACAAGGTATTTTTCAATTATTTTTTTTAAATTTTTCTTCTAACACGTTCTAAATTTGACACAAGAATCTCGGTTTCTTTAGTCAACTTTGTAAGACTTTTATGGTAATGGACATTTTTTTAGTGTAGCAGTTTCCCGTGAAAAAAAAAAAAAAAAAAAAAAAAAAAACACGTTAATTTGGAAATTTTTGCAAAAATTAAATAATTGTCTGATTTTAATGAAACTTTCAGGATTTATTCATCTTGGTAAAAATATTTTTTGTTTTACATCTGTTACCCGTCCCCCCATCACTTAATTTTATGAAATTTTCTAGAATTTCAAACAGTTCACAAATTGTTTTATATTACTTACAAGCAGGACTCCATGGAGAAAGTAAATCATCAATTTATCATCAATGAATAATAATAATAATAATAATAATAATAATAATAATAATAATAATTTATTTTTAACTCAAACTTTTGTCAAATTTTATCGACATTCTACGATCGTTAAATAAACAATTTTTTTTTTAAATGAAACATTGCCCATCATTATCAGATTTTTTTTCCAGTATTTTTCATCTGATTTCCATTATTTCTATTCCAGCTCCCAGATCATTATTCTACGAATATTCTACTTACGTGGATGGGAAATAATAACTAAGCGTTACGATATAAAAATTTCAATAAAAGTAATTGAAATAAAAGAAAAGACAAAACAAGTCAAAAAGGGATCGCTTTAACTTCCTTCATTCTGGACTGGTATCGGAGTATTAATTTTGTTCAATTGCAAAAAATTAAAGGGAGATAACTCATGATTTAAAAAGACGTTTCAAGCCATCTTTCATTTTACCTCAGTTTAGGGCACCTCGGCGTGGTGTAACGGTTAGTAAGCTTGTCTCGGTAGTTGAGTTACGACTGGAAAGTGAGTTCGATCTTCACAAAGTGCCCCATACTTTCGGCATTGTGCCACGTCTTAGTTGCGCTTAGAAAATAAACATTTTTCATCAGTTTGTAGACGATCCGTTGCATGTTATTTGCTAGTAATCACAAAGCATCCTTTGTAACTGTTGAGTTACCAAATATATGTCGGGCAGTCAAGGTAATATCTGTCCCTCAAAAGTAAATATTTACTTAAATATTTATAATAAAAATAAATCAAATACAGTGATTTAGATGTTAGAAGAACATGAATAAAGTTTTCATTTATTTAGGAAAATTGCATACTGACGAAGTATAGAAATGTTTTACACGTCTTCTCTCCGATCCTGAAAAGGAAAACTAGTGGATGTTACAAAAGCTGTCTTTACTCAAAAGCCCGAAACGTCATGTTAGGAGAGGCTATTTCTATTCATATATCTTCTTCCACAATCCTGTCGCTCAAAATTGGATAATTATCCAAATATTTATGATAAAAACAAATTAAAGACGGCAAAGGCGTGGATAGAAGAACATAAATAAAGTTTTTATTTTTTAGAAAGATTACATGCTAACGAAGTATAGAAATGTGATGCATGCCTTCTCCCCCTTCCTGAAAAGGAAAACTAGTGAATGTTACAAACACTATCACGAAACGACGTGTTAGGAGAGGGTATCTATTCATAAGTCTTCTGACCTTTGTACAGACATGGCTTCACTGAATAGGGGAGAAGGGAATTTAACCCGACAATAATCAAACCGGTTACGCTGTGTACACATAAAAACAGGCTATTATAAAAAGGTTATAAGTTCAAATTTTTGCGGAGACATTCTTTATTTCTGATTCATGCTGCTTATTTAACAGCCGTAGAACAAAGATCTAGGGTTGCGATAAAGAAAAAGAAGAAGAAAAAACAGAAATAAGACATGTAAAAAAATAATAATGGCAATGTTTGATTTAACAATTTCGTAGACTAATATTGATATTTGAAAATGTAAATCCTAAAGAAAAGACATTCGTGTTCCGGAATGCACATTGTTTCATGGAGAACTTAATTGGAGACAGAAAGAAATATTCATTGGTTTAAGTTTTATATTAGACGACCAAAATTAACAAAATACAGTATAGCACGATGAGTGACTGATGATTTAACAATTAGTGTATTTAGTGATGTTGCTGACATTTGAACCGCGGGAACACTAGCTGTCGATCTCCTTTTTTGTTAAACCACACATACGTCTGAAGGTTTGGCCGTTCTCTCGGAACCACTTGTTGGAAACTGTGTAAAAGAAAGTATTAAATAATGGAATCAGTACTTTGATTCACAATGGAGTTCCATTATGATGAAAGAGGATCGTATATAAAATCTTCAATTTACAATTGCAGTGCTTTTAGTTACGTGACGTGCAAGTATTAGTAATCTATCTATCTACTTACTGTATCTATCTATTTATCTATATCTCAGTCGGTTCATATCTATCTATCTATCTATCTATCTATCTATCTATCTATTCATCTATATCTCAGTCGGTTCATATCTATCTACCTATCTATCTATCTATCTATCTACCTATCTATCTATTCATCTATATCTCAGTCGGTTCATATCTATCTATCTATCTATCTATCTACCTATCTATCTATCTATATCTCAGTCGGTTCATATCTATCTATCTATCTATCTACCTATCTATCTATTCATCTATATCTCAGTCGGTTCATATCTATCTATCTATCTATCTACCTATCTATCTATTCATCTATATCTCAGTCGGTTCATATCTATCTATCTATCTATCTATCTATCTATCTATCTATCTCTCAGTCGGTTCATATCTATCTATATATCTATCTATCTATCTATATCTTAGTCTGTTCATATCTATCTATCTATCTATCTATCTACCTATCTATCTATTCATCTATATCTTAGTCTGTTCAAATCTATCTATCTATCTATCTACCCATTCTATCTATTCATCTATATCTCAGTCAATTCAAATCTATCTATCTATCTATCTACCCATCTATCTATTCATCTATATCTCAGTCGGTTCATATCTATCTATCTATCTATCTATCTATCTATCTATCTATCTATCTATCTATATCTCAGTTGGTTCATATCTATGTATATCTCAGTCTGTTCATATCTATCTATCTATCGATTTATCTATATGTCACTCGGTTTATATCTATCTATTTATCTATATCTCAGTCGGTTCATATCTATCTATCTATCTATCTATCTATCTCTCAGTCGGTTTATACTTATCTATCTATATGTTAAATGAAAAATAAAAACAAACTTTTTTAACTATATATTTCAAGATTTTTATCAATATTTTGTTCCTTCATTTTTTATTTTATTATTTTTATTATTGTTATTATTATATATTCCCTTTTTTTCCTTTTTATCTTATCCTTTAACATCAATATACGGAAGATTATTCGTGGGTATGAACGGATTTTGTTAAAAATTAGCAGACATAAGATCTGTAATTTATTTAATCAGACATGCCTAAAAGAGAATTTGCTGCCTAAACACACACATACACATTATATATATATATATATATATATATATATATATAGAGAGAGAGAGAGAGAGAGACAGAGAGAGAGACAGAGAGAGAGAGAGAGAGACAATTTAGTAAAGTAATGCAGGAATGAAGAAATACTCACCCCATTTCGAACCAATGACAACAGGACAACCTGCATGTTCGGTTCGGGGATCGCGAAAGTGTTTTTTATTATAGTTATACCAAAATGCTGCTGACCCCTGTAAAAAGAAATAAAAAAAAAGCAAATAATGTAAAAATAAGATAGATAAATATTAGATATTTTAAACATATTCCTAAAAGAATTTCACATGTACACTTTGTCAGAATATATTATGAGAGCCAATGCTTTGGCATAATATTAACATTGGTGTAACATTGTAGGTGTTGTATAATAGAAAATAATTTAAGGTTAAGGATAAGAAGAAAAAATCTAATTAATAAACAGCCACACAGTTTGTTGGAATTATATTGTATTTCTGAAATACGATATATATGACAGTGTCAATTAACGGTAACAAAGTAAAAAAAATGCAGAATATGGCAAGGCGTTTTTCCTGGTCCGTGAATTGACCAATCAGCGACTAGCTACAAGATGAGTTTTCCTAGTAAGAAAAAGGAATTCCTCGATCGAAAATACTTTAGTGATGTTTTTGTCTTAGTGGCGAGGTACCTCTCTCAGCTGTGTCGTTGTCTTTGGGTAGAGCGCTGCGTAGAATATTAAGAGATGCCCTGTCTCGGGAAACAGTTACCCACGGCAGCACCTCGCTCATTATACTAAAGTGAAGGAGTCTGTAGTGATATCGACGCCATCGCAACCTACAGTTGCAGAGGCTGGACAATTTTGGACCCTGGTCCGAGTGCACGCTCTGAACCACCACATCAAACTATTGTGGAGGCGGGTAAATAAGGGCTGGAGTAGGGAGGTTTTCGCACTCATTATGTCCTCTCCATCAAGCAACATTTCCCAGATGGAGTCCATAAAATGTAGTCGCATTGTGCCATTTTTGTGCTCTTACAAGCAGACCTTCCGCCTGTTTAAAAGATGGCTTTCGACTTTCGGTTATTGGCCTGAACACAGCCGATGCAACACACTTCAAAGCGATGACCGTAGTTCACCAAATAACAGTACGAGTCACGGAAGATGTAGTGACAATGCTACACTGGTACAATGTTTCGGATATACTTATATTTATAGAAATGTATTTTGTGACATTCAGCTTATAATATTAAAACATTGATAATAATTTGTTTGGAAGGATGCAAAGATTTATTATGCAAAGTACATCATACATTTTTAGTCAGTAATATTTTTTAAAAAAATACTGTACTCTTTTGTTGTTCTCTAAGGCTTTTTTGCTGACTATTGCCGTGAAAGGTCCAACATCTAGTCTTGCCATCATCCAATGTCGGTCTATATCAACTTGAAAACCTGGACGATTATTTTCTATAATTTTCAGAAGAGTTATTAACTTTCAAATTGTTCTTCAGACGAAATAACATTTTTAGAACATAAATCAGATAATGAAAGACTAAAATCAACTTTACCAGTAACATTAAGTGTTGTAGAGTAGTTTCACAGTAGAGGCTTGTATTTCACTAGATCAGTCCTAAAATAGGTTCGACGTACAAAACGTTAGGTACTTGATATAATAGGTAATGACGCAGCAGAAATCTAGTGGTGGTCGCTGATACTTTTAGTATCCGACTAACAGTCGTCCGACATCGACTGACTGACCAACTCACTGAGCTCTCTTAGCGACTGCTGCTACTCCTACTTATTATAGGTGGGAGAGTCTATTAACAATAGAATAGGTGTGTTCCAGTATAACATTAAGTGACCTCAGGATCATTTTTTTTATTTAAAAAAATTTTTTTCGGCGTTTTTTCACATTGGCCATTTCGCCTTTAGGCAATGTTCAAAAGATCAACCAGTCGAAATAAACTTTAGATATTAAGAAACTTGTTAAAATTCTTTTTTTAGTCTTTTTTTAAACAGTATATACAGAATGATCAAATATCATTCATTCAGACAATTAAATGAATCACTTTAATATCATTTACGACCATCACTTTTTTTTTTTTTTTTTTTTAGTTTTTCATTGTTTGATAGAAGGGAGAGAGAAAGAATCAATTAAGACTAATAATAACAGAAAACTTTTTTTGATCTTTCTCAAAAGGCCGAGATACGGTGGCAACATTTTGATAAAAGACCATTTTTATGGACGTTCAAAATTTCGAACGAAAGAGAAACTGGATTTTGGTCGCCAAAAATCCAATTACCATAAATTAAATAAAATCGTCTGTCAAATTATTTTAAGATTATTATTAAGAGAAATTTTATCCTCGCAAGGGGGGTAAAATAAAAAAAAAATAAGGTAAGATAAAAGTGTTTAACGCCTCCTGCCAATACCTCATAAATAATGGACTAGTCTATCTTGATAGCGTGGAAAGAGGGAAATTACACTTTCTTTTTTTCAGTTGAGAAAAAAATAAAGGGAAATATTGTTATGCGAGATTAACTAAACAACCTTTGAAAGGAAAGGCGTTTTGAAAACGACTTTTTGAGTGAAATGGAAAACGTTATCTATTTCGAATCTTTTTATTTCTACCCACTTCCTAAAATAACGACCAGTATTCATATTTATGATTTTTATTGCAATATTTTGTTGTTAAGCTCAAATATTTAACGATACGATGGGAGTGGGGGGGAATTTCTACGGACATTTTGTTGTCGTTAGAACTCGCCATGTGTTTACTCAATCATTAATTTAAGAATTAAGATTTCATCAGCAGATTAAAATAGGAAAACCGTATATATAGTAGGTATTCTATTATTGTTGTTATGACAGTTTTACCTTGATAACAGGTACCCGGATGTTAAGCTTTGGGAATACAGTTGTTGTCCAAGAATCAGTATATCCGTAAATTGAAAAAGATGACATTAAAAGATGTTTTTAAAAAACAAGAAAATAACTCTTACAGATGCCACTTACGAATTAAATCGCAAACGATGTGAAAGAAAAGTGATGAACTTAAAATGGTGGAATTATACATACTTTCCAAGGCTTCCGATTCTTTGTACATCTGGCACAATATATAAATTTAGTCCTAGCTTATATAGCAAACATGACCACTTTTAAATGAAAATTATTGAATTTTGTAGTGCGCCAAACATTTTTATATACTTGGTAGATTATATAATTATAATGATTTCACAATGTTTTTGTTAGATTTTTTTCTTCCTTTTTTCTTAACTAGTGTTTTGTATTTTTGATCAGTCAAAGGCCAATCAGTAATGCTATTGTCAGGGCAGTGAACAGCTTTAAATAGATGTCGTTTCAAGAGATTTTTTTTTGAAAAAACACTATTATACCTTACATCTGTATTTGTGAGTAAAGACAGATTTTTTTGTAATATTCGATTGTTTTTTTTTCAGGCTCAACAGAAGGCCTTAATTCACATTTTACATTTGTTAGTACGTTATCTTTGTATAAAATAAAACCTTCATTTGCATTCTTCCGACATCTACTATTCTTTATTTTTTAGTTTTTATACGTTGGGCAAATATTTCTGCTTAAAGGTTTAAGTTGCATATATATTTGGTAAATCCAATATTTTTTATGTTCATATATATATATATATTTATATATATATATATATTCATAAGCATATTTCTTCGAAGATGCTTGAATGCATGCTGTATGATCAATATTTTTTCGAGTCAAGATGAAAATATTTTTTAATTTCCAGAAGTAGGCTGCCGTTATTATTTCTTGCCAACCAAAAATAATAAGCATTTAGTTTATATTTATGTTATTTAATCCATAGCTGGAGGAAGAAGAGATGGATATCTTTGTTCTTTTCCTCTCATTGTTCATAAATGAATGTAATGAACTCGACTAAAAATTCGAACTTGGATTGGATTTTAATTTAAACCATCATGCATTTTTTTTTCATTCTTTTAAGAGAACATTGGTTTTCCAAATGGTAAATGTCTAGGTAATGGCCAGGCGTTTGCTTAACTTTAGTGATTGTATGGGAACCAACGTATCGAGATGATGTGTTCGTAAGCTGTTTTTCTTTTTTGTTTATATCAAATGCGCAGTGATTGAGAATATCGGCTTTTGTAGAAAATGCAATGAACGCTAGCCGTGAGTAAATGATAAATGCCTTTATTTTATTTTATTTTAAGTAAAAAAATATCCGGGTTAAATAAAGTGTTGTCAAGCACCGGGTGTATACATGACTTGAGACGCTATTAGGAATAATTCATGGATTAAATCTAAAATAAATCGTATTTGCGGAGTGAGGTAAAAATATGGAGGCTAATAAAATAAATATATGGATAAAAAGTAATCCCTGGAAAGCTGAACAGACGTCTGAAAGAAATATATAGAAGACAATCATTAATAAAGTTGTCCAAGGTGTAATAGACGATGAACATATTGGAACAACTATGATATGTTGTACATTTGTTGCTGGAAAAACAAAATGTATGTTAATCAAATGGAACGTCATTATATATATATATATATATATATATATATATATATATATATATAAATTCAAAATGAAAAATAGGTATTTTTTCGTTCAATTTAAAAACATTAATTAGTGGTGGCCTCAAACTTTTGAACTGTAGTGTCCATTATATATATATATATATATATATATATATATATATATATATTAGAGCATATATTTTATATTATAAAGAGATAATTTACATTGAATCAA